TTTCTTTCTACCTATCCTTCCTTCCTTCCTCCTTCCTTCCTCCCTCCCTCCCTCTTCCTTCCCCCCTTCCTTCCTTCCTTCCTCCTTCCTCTCCTTCCTTTTCCTTCCTTCCTTCCTTCCTTCCTCCCTCCCTCCCTCCCTCCATCCCTCCCTTCCATGCTGTCAGAGCAGAGCAGACAGATGCCCCTCTCTCTTCTGATTTTTCACCCTCACAGCCCATGCTTGCCTCGGCATAGTCTCAACCCTGCAGCTTGGCTCCCATGTACCCTGGCATCAAACATCTCCGTGCTGTCCTCTCTCCTGGACCTGGAGAACAACATCTGTCCTTGGTGTGCCCTTGAGCACCTTGTGCTCTATCTGGACAGATGAGAACAACTTTCCGTAAATGGCAAGAGAATAGCTTAAAGCAGAAATATTCAAAGGAGGAAGTGCATCAAGTGAGTTTTGAGAAGATTTCAAAAAGATCTTAATAGTTAGTCAATATCCCTGAAAATTCTTCCAAGCATATGTAGAAAAATAGCTCTGTGGGCCATTTTAAAGTCCACTAATGCACCATAAATCACAGCCGTGCAGCCTAGCTTTCTCTTGGCAATCCTTTGGCCTTCTTGAGAAATTGTAATTGCTCAATAATAGAACATGGTCCCTTGATTAATAAATAATAATGCTAAAGACCGAGAGAGCAGATGGCAGGTTTGAGAGGAAAGAAAGTTCTGGCACTCAGTGAAGTCTTGGTTATGGCTCCAGGGAGGTGCTAGTGCACCTCTGGGCCTGGGGAGGATGTAAGTGACGCCCATGCTTAGCACACATTCTGTGACTGAAGAGAGTGAGGTACTTGCTGGGGATGACCCTGTGAGGCTCTGCTGCAGAACCGTGAGCACTGCAGGGTGAAGTGAGGCTGCCCTGGGGTTATGAAGTTCTGAAACTTTTCACTTTTCATGGAAAAAGCCACCCTCTAAACATGTAGTCCGAGGCTCAGATCTGGCTACTGGGTGGACACCCCCAACCCCTCTCCTGATTCCCCACCTGTGGGTCTGCTCTCCTTCCTGAAGATTCCTACCCCACTGGCTGACCTCTGCTATGTCACATCCTCAACCTTGTCACCTCTCCAACTGTGTGTCACTCATCTTCCAGGGCCACAGCAGGTGGATGCTGACAGGAGGTGTTCCTGATGGTGTGTGCATAGCTTGCAGCCCTAGCCTGGTCCCCTCCTCCAGCCCCCGACAGCACATGCCCCAGAATGGTCTGTCCAGGGAAGCAGGGCTGAAGCCTGCCTTCCAGCATGATGGACACCCCAATAGTTTATCCCAGTCTACCAAAACCCCCAACTTTGCCTTAGTGATGTGCTGTCTCTGCTGCACTGACCTGGGGGGAAAGTGAGCCTTGAACTTGGTCTGGAACATTCTAGCCAGAATGACAAGAAGCAACACCAGCAGCACGCTGGTCGCCGTGAATGCCACAATCTTCCACGTGGTCAGCAGGGTTTCGTGAGTGCTGGGCCATGTTTGCTCTGCCGTGAGAAAGAATAAAGTCAGGCATGAGGCCCCCTGACTATGACAGATGACAAATCCCCTGCCTATTCCTTTGCGGGATTAATCTGGTACATGATGTACCTATGGCATGGCTCCTAGGATTAAACCGATAAACCACCAAGCACTCAGTATGGCTCCTAAATTGTGTCAAGACCCACACAACACTAAAACCTATCTCTAGCAGGGGCTCTGCAGGGTTGAAGATAGTCAGACGTGCATGTTCTTCCTGAAGGAGAGCCTAACCCAGGCCTAAATAATGTTCCCATTTCTTGGGCAGGGTCCTAGTTTGCTTTGTTGCTGTGATAAACACCATGACCAAAAGAAACTTGGGGAGAAAGGGCTTGATTTCATCTTACAGGTTACAGTGCATCACTAAGGGAAGCCACGGCAGGAACTCAAGGCAGGAGCTTGAAGCAGAAACCACGGAGGAGCGTTGCTCACTGGCTTGCTTCCAGGTCACATTCAACTACGTCTTATACAGCCCAGGCCCATCTATCTAGGGATGTTTTGCCCACAGTGGGCTGGGCTCTTCTACATCAAGCAGCAATCAAGAAAATGCCTTACAGACATGCCCACGGACAATCTGATGGAAGGAACTCCACAATGGTGACAACAAAGGTTAGCCACTTACGCAGAGAGTGAAATGTGTCCCTGTGCCCTAAAGACACTATTCTGAATTGGGCCAAGGACAGGGGGAAGCCTGACTAAAGACTATGGCGATGTTCTTGAACACACTGTTGACTGGAATGAAGGATGAGAAGTGCCCTCGGGACACACCCGCTCCCTGGCCCTTACTCCACCCTCCGTGGTATCTGCCAGGTAAAGGGAACAAGAGCAGACTCTTCCAGAACTTTTGCCTCCCAGCATGCCCTTCTGCATCACCCCACTCAGTAGCCATTCTCTTAGTCTTGGTGCCTTTCCCCTTTCCGGTCCACATGACCATCTGTGTCCCTCCAGATACCTGACATTAATGAGTGCTTCTCTCACATCCGTGTCCAGAAGAGCAACAGCCAAACATCACTACCACTTGGGGCAGTGACCATTGACTACGGCCTGGAAAATGTTAGAGTGGGCAGGTGTGGGAAAAGCAGGGGAAGGGCGTGTGTTCGTACCCAGGCCTTCAATGTGGGGCCATCACTTGGGTGTGCACAGTCCTGTGGTGAAGTTGGTTTGAAAGTCACTTGTTCACCAGGAAGTACTGGAGCTTGCTAAGAGCCTCCACTTGTGTGAGATCCGGTCTCACCCAGAATAATATTCCTATTCTGATATGTGTTCTTCAGTGGAGGATACAGGCAGCTGGGTTGGGGGGGTGTCATTTATTGCTTGGGTTTTGGGGCACATACTTCTAGTTACACCCATTGGTGGCACCCCGACAGTGGGCGTCACTAAGGCTGTGAGAAACTGCAGAAGCTGAATTCCTCCATGGATGCCAGATCTAGGATCCAGTGCAGAAAGACCCTTGACCCTCTGAACATGGCCTAGAATCACCCATCAGAGTCTAGCCAGCCACCCATATCCATAATGATGCATTTCTAACAGCCTGGTCTAACAGCCGGCTGTGGGAGGGGAGTGGATGCCACTCAGGATGCAGCCTGGACACAGCTGCGCCAAGCCTCCCCCGAGGACGTGGCCTCCGGTCTCACCTGATTTGATGCAGTAGACTTGGTAGGAAGGGAACCACTCTCCATACTGGCAGGTGATATACTTGTAGTCACTGGTGAGGCTGTAGCCCGGATCGCAGTAGAACTCCACCACAGTCCCATGGTTGTAGCGCTCACAAGGCCGCGGGTGGCAGATGAAATCTCCGTGACTGACCATTGGAGGTAGTGGACAAACTTGGGCAGTTGGGGAGAATAAAGGTTTCAGAACCACAGGTTCCTTAGAGGAGCCATTCAGACACAACACAGGCCTGGCAGACAGTAGCTACTTAAGGGTGTGCTCACACACAAACACCAGACTATGGAATGGGACCAGAGACAGCCAGCCCTTTTCTTTGTGTTTTCAGAGAAGGTCAATGGAAGCATACTAGGATATTCTGAGCATGAGCTGCTGTCACACAGTATTGTAAAATACATTATAAAAGAGAGGTTCATTTTGCAATGTGAAGAGTATGCCTACTTAATGGATAGTATTAAGCTACTCTATTAATAATGCATGCTATTACATGCCAGGCAACCCAGTAAATAAAATTAAGATATTTATGGACAAAATTTTTACCAAGAGGCACAGCCATGCCAAGTCTGCTTCTGTGACCACAGTAGTGATCTAGAACTGTTCAAATCAGGGGGTGACGGTCCTACCTGATTTCCTGTGTTCTGCTGGGATCTGGCCAATGGCAACCAGGGAGGGGCTCTCTTGGTTCTGTTTGCAGACCTAGCCTTGGCTCTGGCACACAGGTGTCAGGAAGGCACCAGGAATTAGGAGCCTGAAGTTCTAGGTTTGCTTCTGCTAACACAATGTATGACCTTAAGATGGTCAATTCACCCCTGGAAACTCTAGTTTTCTCCTGTCAAGCAGACACTTATTCTGGTTTTCTGAATCACGGTGCATGATGTTAAGGGAAAAAGGCTGTTTTTAGTCTCCCGTTTTCAGACCATACTCTGGGCTGCAAGGTGAGACTAGTTCCATTTCTGAAACTGGAAGGTAGCTTTTTGGAGCTTGCAGTTTATTTGTATCAAGCCACAAAGAGCTCTCTTCCGCAGGACTCAGAAGTAAACAGCATGCCACTTAAACATCTCTCAGGAAACAAACTGCAAATTCTACTAACACCAACCTCAGACCTGTGCCTCTGAAACAACTAAGCTCCGAGGCCAAAAACCAAAACAAACCAACCCTGAAGCAATTAACTTTCATGACCATTCCGAGGGGTAACCGAATGCTCTGGCCGGTGTAGAACCCCTAACACCACCTGACACACCCCAAACTTTCCAAAGCTTTCAGGGAGCATGTGGGGGTATGCCCTGATGGTGTGTGTTCCCCAAGGCTGGATAACAAGATGGGCCCCTGATGAAGGCATTCCAAAGCATATGCCTGATAGGCACCCATCTCCAGCCCTACAGACAGTGCTGCGATATAGATCTTGTTGGCTCTTTTACAGACAGAAGCTCAAAACAGCAGTAGGCGAGTGAGAGGGAGCTGAGGCTTGTGCCACACAGGTGCATAGCTGAATTCTGGCTGAACTACTGTGAAACCAAGTGACGCTGAACAAGTCCCTTCTCATCTCAGCCTCAGGGTCCTCATGAAAACCAGGCATGTCTGAGGGCTGTTCTCAGGAAGGCTGCTAAGGCCTTAGTTCACAGCCAGTCTGTTATAGTGGGTCAGTGGGGATGGCCGGTACCTAAGTATGTAAGAGGGGACTCAATGAGGCAGTGGAAAAATGGAGACATCAACCAGGAAGATCCCAGGTCAGCAACAGCAGGCAGCCATTGCCACTTCTGGGCTGGTGGAAGAAGGGATTCATGGGTCCCCAGTGGAAAACAGAATGGTGGAGGCTCATCTTGCAGATGCTGGAGCCAGAGGAACTGCCCTCCAGGGCACAGAGAGTAAAGGGGAAACTGGAAAGTGCTTCCAGTAGGGAGCACAAGTCTGTAGCAGGTAGCCAGTCTGGACATGGTACATGCAGGGGCAGGCCCAGAGATGGATCTGAGGCTCAGGGTGTGTGCTGAGAGAGCCCTCCATGGGGGTTTGAGCTCTGATTTAAATGCCCAGGAGCTTTATGCTGCCCCAGGGTGTCCCTTGGGCTGGCAGATGCCCTCCTCTGCAGTACCCACGGTGGGGCATAATAATCCCACACATTTCCATTTCTATCTCTACAAAGGCTGCTCCTTCTAGACTGGCTACCCAGAGTGCTCTGGGAGTATCCCTGGGGGTAAGGCATAGGCAAGGATGGCTGGTGAGCTGGAAGGGCAGAAAAGAAAGTACCCACAATGTTCCCTGCTCTGAGAGCTCCAGGGATGCTAAAGTGCCCTCCTCTGGTCATCATCCCTCCTGCTGGTTCTTGGGAGAATACTGGGAAGAGTACCCCAGTGACCTCCAGGGCTGTTAGGCTCATCTGACTGCTTAGAGGACCTCAATCCCTGCATTGTTGTGGCTGTACCCCACCTGCCATACATTAGAAGAGACCCTTTCTGTGTGTAAAGGTATATGAAGTGTCTGGATACCAACTAATGAACAGGTAAAAAAATGTGATATATACCAAGGAATATTACTTAACCTTTAAAAAGGGAACTCTGTGATTTTCAACAGTATGGATGAACCCAGGGGGTATTATGCTAAATGAGATACACTGAGAGAGAAAGGAAAACACTGCATGATCAAGATCTCACTGGCACGTGGTATTAAAAAGTTAGATTCATAGAAACAGAAGAGAATAGTGGTTAGCAGGGGCTGGGGGTGGGGGAAATGGAAGACAGGTGAAAGGGCACAAACTTACTAGGATGAGAAAGACTGGGGATCTTCTGAACAGCCTGGGGACTGAGGTTAGAAATGCTGAGCTGTGTCCTGCTCATTTGCTAAGAGTAGATTTCAGCTCTTACCACAGGTAGAAAGGCAGTATGGGAGGGGAAGGAGGTGTGTTCTGCCTGTCAATACATCACGTACACCTACATGTGTGTCAACACATCATGTACACCTACATATGTAAAACCCTGATTTAAAAGTGCTATGCATTGGAGTGCCCCCAGAAGACTCTCTGAACAAGTCCCCAAGAGCCATCATGGGGTTAGGAAATTACCAGACCGAGTCTCAAGGGCTGGAACTCCTCATGAAAGAAGCCGGCCATCAACAAACGCAAGCTGGTTATCTGCAGCACGTTTTCCCCCACTTGGCCTGAAGAACCAATGACTTGGGAATTGGCACATTAACTCTGAGGCAAATGGACCCGCGATGTGCTAAAGAATCCCCTCCAGAGGACCAGGCATTTAATGATGTAAAGGTGGGCAGTGCAGTGGAGTTGCTTGAATTTGTGCTTAAACGCCTGCTCTATTGTCGATGGGTCTTAGCTTTCCCGTGCGTACACTGAGAAGCAATCTCTGACTCCTTGGGTTGTGGGGAGGATCAGAAGCTGTATGCAAACCATGCTGCACTGGTGCATGCTGGATCAATGATGTGATTAGTGTCGCTGGGGCTCAGGTTCGCTGGAGTTCTGCACTGCCCTTCCTGGGATGGGCACCGCCCAGCTTCTTATGCAGCAAGGATTTCTCGGTAGCACCAGAACAGCCTCAAACATTCAGGGAACCTGGACACCTCCATCATCATGTTTCCTCAGAGGTCAGATAAACACCAATCACAGGGGAAGTTTGCAGTCTAGCATAGCTGGTGAGTGATGGATGTAGTTCCCCTAAGTGGAAACATTTTTTTTGTACACTTTGCCCTGTTTGCCTTGTTCTAATGACTGCTCTGGGAATAACATTAGTTTCACTGTAAAGGAAACCTCCATGGAGTGTGTTTGGGGTGAGAATGGTTTTTGTGACATAGAAGGAATTAACAAAAGTGTTATTAATTATAAACTTAGTGGACTGGGGAGATGGCTCAGTCAGTAGAGTGCTTGCCATGTAAGCATAAAAACTTGAGCTCAATCCTCAGAGCCAAAACAAACAAAACAGCCAGAGGTAGTGGCATGCACCTGTAAGCTTAGTGCTGGGGTGGTGGGGACAGGCAGATTCCTAGGACTCACTGCACAGCCAGCCAGTGAGAGACCTTGCCTCATAGAACAAGGAGGGTGGTATCAGAGCCAGTGAGAGACCCTGTCTCATAAAACAAGGTGGATGGCATCCTAAAGAACGATACTTGAGGTTGACCTCTGGCTTCTACATGTGCACACATGTATGCACACGCCCACATATTGCATATGCACAGTCATGCACACTTGAACAAATACCAGAAAAATTATAAACTTGAAACTTATTTAAAAACTTTAATATGGGGAGCTGAAGAGATGGCTCAGCAGTTAAAAGCGCTAGCTGCTCTTGCAGAGGACCCAGGTTGGGTTCTCAGCACCTACATGACAGCTAACAACCATCTGTAACTCCAGTTCCAGGGGATCCAATGGCCTCTTCCGACCTCTGTGGTCATCGCATGACACACATGCAGGCAATATACTTATCCATGTAAAATAAAAATAATAAAATATTTTTAAAAATCTTAATATGGGAGTCCCTTGAGGGACTTCCACTCTCACTCAGCCCTGCCTTACCATGAGGCTGGCCTGAGCACTGCTACCCTCTTCTCCACCCCACCCTAGGAGGCAGACAGCTACACACATAGACAGACAGATGGACAGACACACTTGCCTACACAGAGGCCTCAGGCACAGGGCAACAGCTCTGCTCATGATGTCATGTGGGTAGCATCTGCAATAACCTGAGTGTTCCTAGAAATGTGGGTGAGTCAGCATGACACCGCTTCACCTCAGAACCCCATAAGTTCAGCCTGTGACTCAGATCCCCTCAGCCAGCCACCAGCTCTCAGCAAAAGCTGTAGGCGGCACGAACAAAGATCCCTTCACACTCTAGATTTGAAAATATTCCCTAAACTTTAGAGATGATCAACCACCACTGCTTTTTGGAGGTTTGTAGTCTGGGCGTTGGGTGGTTATAGGCAGAATCCAAGCAAGGCTTTGCTGAGGCTCCACCCAGAATGGATCTTAATTACTCTGTCCTAGGTGTCAGAACCAAGAGGGTCTGAAGATGGAGTGTTATGGCTCCTTTCAGAGTATCAGGAAAACTCCTATCTACCTCAATAGCTGCAGAGTACTTTTTATCAGACACTCATGGAACTTGATAAAAGTGGGCTAGGTGAGACAGAGGATGAGAGGCAGAGGCCTGGGACCTTCAGTCTGCCT